GAATGTGGGCTGAAGTGTGAGTGGGGATGGACAGGGGGAGCTGGAACAAGGGTGCTTTTAGCATGTGTGACCAGGGCAATGCAGAAGGTGAGTACAGCTAAGGGATGAATAGAAAAGGCAAGAATGACTCGGCTCTAGGTTTGAAGAAGCGGACAAAAAGTGATCTTGTTAACTATAGCAGACACATGGAAGGATTAGAAATTGCTACCTAACTTTATTTTGGCAACCAAAATTCCTAGTGAGTGTGACTCTTCACTCTAGACTGAGATCTGTGTGATTTTCTTCATGTGACCACTACACATTCCTTCCTGTGTCTGGAATCCCTTAATTTCCATAGATTCCTGCCTCTATGTAATCTAGATGATCAGAGTGGGAGGTCCTAGCAGCATTTAGCCTAAAGCCATCCTTATATAACCCCACACTCTTCTCTCTTAGCGCCTCTTGAGTCCCTTCCCCTCCTTGCATCCTGCAGATGGCAGGATTTTTTCTGTGGTCTTAGCCAGGCCCACACAAAAGCCTGAGAGTGTCATAGTACAACAGCCTGACACTACACTATGAAAAGACAGGGCTCTCTGAAAGGGAAGCAATCCACACTCCTCTGGGCCCCTAGGGTTTATCAGCAGTCTGGACCACAGTTAAGAGGCAGCAAATGAGCATGCGTCGTGACCAGAGCAACAGGGGTGGCAGGAGCTCTGCAGACATTGGCAGATGAAAACAATGCTGGGCTCGGGGGACAAAGAGTTCTTAGGATCCGTGACAGATTTTGTCAGATTTATGAAAATTTGACACCTGGGTTAAGGGGGTTGTTTTCTTTTTCTGTATTAAAAAAAAAAAAAGAAAGAAATTAGGAAGAAGTATATTTTGGCTCAACGGGAGGGAAAATCTTGCAAATATGTCAAGTTGTTCAACTCAAGAATAAGCTGTCTCTTCATGCAGGAAGCTCCATGTACTGCTGAAGGTGTGGGAGAAGAGATGCCCAAGTGACTACAAGGAAAGATCCCAGGGCTACTGAGGTGTGAGGAAAGGGGCCCAGGGGACTGAGTGTTGGATTTGAGGACCACCACCATCAACAGTGTCACCTTAGACAAGTCTCTCGTCCATGTGCATCTCATTCTTCTGATGTAGAGGAGGGGCAGGTTGGGCTTGATCTCTCAGGACAATGGGCCATGATCTGGCTAAGGTCTCCTGTCACACTCAGCCATGCTCCACTCTGCATGCTTTCTGTAGACAGCTTGTCAACACTCAGGGCTTAAGGCATCTGGTGTGGAATCGACTGTCCTGTTCAATTACCTGAGCCTGTCCTTTGTGCTGTTGCTCTGGACCTCCAGCTAGGAAGCCTAGGAACCACAGTATACATTTGGCTCCTCTCTCTCTTTCAGGCCTTAAGGCTCTGTCTCCAGAGTGCTTTGATTTGCTTTTGATTCTTCCTTTCCACAGACACCATTACAACTCAGATGCATCACACCACACACGGCCAGCAGGCCTTGATGTCCTAACGGGGAGAGATGTAGACCAACTCACCCCATTTACAAATGAGAAAGGGACACAGAAAAAGCCTTATACAAAGTCACAGAGCTAGCAGAGGCTGTTCTAAACCCCATGCTCTTCCCACTTCCACACACCACACAGCCCCGGGGTGCTCCCTACCATTACTTCAGCCAGCCCAGTGCATTTCGGCACACTTGGCTTTATAGGGATTGGCCACGACTTACCCACAAAAGGTTCAGTTTACCTGTATATTACTGTGATGCTCCTTGGTGAAACCATATGTGTTAATCTAGGAACTATCCTGATCTCTTAATGGTAACAGAACACTGGGTCTGCTTTGAGTTAAATAACACTGTTCTTTCTTGTGCTTCTCACAGATACTGCCAAAGCAGGGCTGCTGAATTGTGAAATAAAGAAAAATTCCAGCCAGCTCCAGCTCTCCAGAGTCTGAAACATCCAGGCCATTTGGATACTAGATGTATCTTTGTATTCCAATGAGTACAAAAATTACATATATCATGTTAACTGGCTATGCCTTGATTGCTCCCATAAAAGGTCCTGGACTCACGTTGGTTCTTCTGTTGCTATTCTGGTCTCTTCTAGTTCTTGGGCTTGTTTCAGCCAAGGTAATTTAGCTTCCACTGGACTTTTTTCTAAGAAAAAGGAACATAAACAATGAGCTTAATGACTATTAATCACTCAGAGAGGCTGGAGACATGATCATCATTGGCTAAACATTTCATTAACATAGAGGTCATGATTTTTAAATGCAAGTGGAGCCCTTTGGCACAGGACCTTAGGTGGCTTCTGGAGCAAATAAACATTTAAGGCCATTTTAAAAAATTAACATATTACTCAATACAACTGAAATAATCCCCATGATACAGTTGAATGTGATCTCGATATTCACCGTAAAAGTAGCTTTACAAATCAAAGCCTGTTTCTGTTCTTTGCATAGTAAAGCTCTGACTTCACCAATATCAACTTACTTTCTTTTGCCACCATTTGCTTTGCCCACTGAATGTACAAATTAATAGAGAAAAGAAAATAACATAGCAGTTAATAGAGTGGGAGGGAGAGTACATTCATGACCACGACCACCAGCTTTTCTTGCTGGGCGATAGCTGCTGGCTGCATGTGGCACAGAGAAGGAGCTGGGGCCTCTTTCTGTCCTTAGAGCCTCTTTAGATGTGAGGAAAGAAAAGATTGAGTTGTGAAACATGAAGGGAAATAACTCTGGGCTGCTTCCAGGAAAGCACTGGCACGAAGGAAGTATCTATTAAAGTACAATCAAACGCAGAAGGAAAAGGGCTGCACCAATGGAGCTATACAGTTAATACATGCACCTGTCAGGGCCACCAGTGATGGTTTTTTTCTGCAAGAGGGATGTGGTCCACAAAGCATTTGCTGAATGGTTAATTGTGGGGTTATTCACATAGACAACAACCCAGAAATAATGAAAGACTTGTGTCATCCTCTATAAGGTGTAAGGAAAAGTCCTTTTTACCACCAGGTGGGAATGTTTTCCATTTTGGGGAGGAAGATACTTGTCATGAGGGCTGGGTACACCTTGCTAATGTACATGGAAATTAACTGCAAGAAAAGGAATGCATATTGGAGAGCTGGGGCCAAGACTTGCTGTCCACGGCTGTCTGCCTATTCTGCGAATTCATGCAGAGCAAATGGGACAGCAGGAGGAATTCTCAGCACACCCACAGATCAAGGTTGGGAGCTAAAATCTTCATGGCCCTTGTACCACGACGCTGCAGAGGACACTGTTCCTCCTTGAAGAAACACATGCAAAGGAGAGGCGCATACAGAGCACTGTGGCAACAGAGAAAAGGGAGGGCTTGGGAAGGAGAAGAGCTGCCTTCTCCTGCTCCATCTCTTCTTCCTTTTGCTTTTCTTTTTTTCTGCCTCCTCCTGCTCCTTTCTCTATTCTTGACCATCAGATCCTTCTTTCTCTTGAAGGCAGGGACAGTATCAAGTTATTTTATGCCTACCAAAAAATATCAGTGCAAGCCCAGACAGGTAGGAGGCACTCTGTACATCCTGAATCAACAAAGGCTTAGAGTCCCTCCAGATCCTGTGTTTCCAACTTCCTCCCATAGGTGGGCAGCAAATTCTGGATAAAACCATTGCAATAAGAAAACCAAGTCAAAAAGGAAGTTCTGCAGTACTGGAACGTGACCTTGGAAACATCATTTGATTAGAATGAAACACACCACAATCGTACCTTTCGGTTTGTAACAGGGGGTGGGAATGACACATTCCTCCTTGATGTGCAGCTTCAGCTGTGGATTGCAGCCCCCGACATGCTCCCCCAGGTGGTTGATGCACAGGACAACACGGTACCGTAACCCCCTGCCACAGGTCACTGTGCACTTGAAAGAAGAATCAAGCCAGTGAGTTTGTTCTTTCAGGAAAGAAGCAGTGGGTTTTCCAGGCATTCTTTTACCATATGTAAAGGAGGTGCTCATTTACATTCAGCTGTATGAATATTTAACACAAAAGGCCTCTGACAAACCTTCAGAAAAGAAAGGGGCAGAGGCTGGATTTCTGGGATACTTGGGTTTCTGGGTACCTCCCTCCCACACTGGAGCTTGTCTCCAACTCTCAGTTGGAAAAGTATTTAAGATGAGATCACTGTGGAAGAAAAATACATGTTCTGAATCTTATTTTGCTCCAAAAACTTACTTTGCTCTGCATCAAATATAAAAAGAAACTTGATTCTGGTTTTCTCAAATTTGATTAAAAATTGACATGACATGGCCCAAAAGCTCATGTGGAAAGCAACTTTTCTAAATGATGAATATAAAAAAATTAAATTTTAGCCAACCATTACAGAGAGTTAAACTTTCTCTACCTTGTCGGTTTTGATCTTGCAAAGTAGTTACCATATGAACAGATCATCATGAGTATTTAGCCAAACAATACAGGGAAAAAAATGCTAGAGGGCTGTTAGATAATTAAAAATAATAAAAACAGTGTGCCACTTCTCTCACTTTTGGTGAAGTTCCTGTTGTCAACATTGTTTTCCTTGTTCACCTATGATTTGGAAGTCACTGTTACCTATAATGTATGTTCTCTTGTCATGTGAAAATCTAGGATCTCTTTGTTGATCTACTCAACTTTAAACTTTATAATACGTTTGTAGTGTATATGACAGAGCAGACTGAATGTGGTTTCAGGCATCCACAGGGACAGGGAGGGCCTTGGCATGGGGACCTCACAGACAGTGTTCCAGTACCCTGTGATGAATTAAAGTCCAGAATTCACATCAGGGTCCTTGACAGCTTTTTACATGAAAGGTGAACTCTAATCTACACACCTTCTGGTCTCACCAGCTCTGAGTCTTCCCTTGGGAGAAACTGAGCCCTCATGAGCACCTGCGGGGCACAGACAGCGTCCTGCACATGTGATGTGCAGACATCGCACATGTGCGGGCTCACATACAACAGCCCAACCAAGGACCTGGCTGAAGGCCCCAAGACTGCTTAGAGCACAGTGGAATTCCTTCCAGAGCCTCCTGCTGCTGAGCCCAGGCCCCAGTTACTACTGCAGGGCTGAAAGGATTTTCCCTGAGCCCCTGTATGCTTTGTACCCTGCCTTTGGGGACAAGTGTTACAGACACATTTCAGGAGGTCTTTCTCAGCATGTACACAGCTCCAGAAGGGCAGAATATGGGGAAAATGCTCCAACTTCCTCATACACCCCACCACCACCCGGACCACCAAACAAATGCTATCATGAAGTGAGTGAAGTTTGAATTTAGATCTGGATTTGGGAAATGGATTTACTTCCCTCTAAATTTATCAACTTGACATATGATCTTGAGAAGCTCTTTTATGTCAGCTAGGAAAAAATGCATAGTGCCCAAAGAGAAAGTAATGAGATAAGGTAAAACTATCATAGAATTGGCCCAATCAGGTGAGCACTGTGTCTCTTCAGTTAGCTCATGTGGGAAGCAGGACTCTCACCCAGGGAGGCAGCCAGGATTCATACTACTTCCAGACTCCCCCTTGCAGAGGATCACTTGCTCAATAACTGCAAATCTTTATCACTGAGAATTCCTTCAAACATCTTAAAAAGTGAGAGGCAGTAGGAGCCAGGTAGGTGAATAAGATGAGCCAGTTAGCAAACCACAATGAGGTTATAAATGAGGACAGTCATGCTCTTAATGGGAGAGCATAAAGTTCTAAGGTTGACGCAGAACACGCAACTAGGGCCTAACGGGCTGACAACAGCTCCACAGGTAGTAAGAGCATTGCCCACTGAGGCCAAAATGTGAAGATCTCTAGTGGCCAGCTAATAAGTTCTTTTGCACTAGGGTGGTATTCTTTCCTTTCAACAAAACTAGAAAAGGACTTAATCAAATTACAAGCTGACAGATATTTAAAAATAATTCCTAGTGAGGCATAATCATGTGGTGTTCGGCATATAACTCCGGAGTTGAAAGAACTGCATAAGCTCACAGAAATGGACTCCTTTATCCTGGCCTATGTATGGAAACAAGCATTCCCAATGTGCCTATGTAAGACAACCAAAAAGTCAACAGTGAACGTCACCAATAAAATTATGGCTGAGCCCATCTTTCATTCTGGTAGTGACCATATGGTCTAATTTTTGAGGCTCATTTACCTTCTAGAAAATCTAATTCTAAATGAATATTTAACTTCTCATGTTTATAGCAGCTTTTTACCAAAATACTATAGTAATGCTGTTTTGATTGGATACCAAAATTAAATTTAATCAGAGCTTCATTCAAGGGAATGCTTTTAATATTTAAGAGCCTGCCGGTCATAAGAATCCAAAATTAATTTTAATTACACATTATTTAGAAGTGGATGAGTATGATTGATAAGAGATTTTAAGCACATAAATACATCATATGATGATAAAATTCTACAAGGGAGTATATTGAAAATGTGAGTGGAACAGGAGAAATGTGAAAATACTCGAATTGTGAGAGAGCTTGTTCCTATTTAAGTGAAAGATAGCAAGGATAGAAACTGTCATGACATTTAGGTTCCACGGAACACTTTTTTCAGGATGAATAACACTTCTAAAATGTCAGTATTCACAGCACATTGGACACGGTATTCTTGGCAGTTATTTAAACTTCCTGATAAACTTTTCAGATCTCAACCTACGTAGATGAGAAGGGTTGTACAATCTAGGGCACATCTATTACAGGGATCACACGAAAGAGCCAGAGAAACGGGGGTAAGTTAGGATTTATTCTTTACAGAGTTAAAAGATTAAGATTAAGATTCTGAATGCCAGCACGTGCACTTTCCATTTCTGGGCTGAGTCATTGGCACTTGATCTATCCTGGAGGCTGACTCGCCTGTCTCACTAGAAAATAAAAATTAAGCTCATCTAACACATCTCCAGGAGATTCCTTCCTGCTCTTCTTATTTTCCAGCGATCTTCTCCCTCCTTGATTCCAAGTACATGTCCTTCTCTGGCCTTTCCCAGTGCTGGACTGTGTTGCCTCAGTTATCTGAAATATATTATATTCTTCAAAAAATGGTGAAGTTTCTTAATAACTATTAGACCAAGGATGCATTTGTAATGTCAGGTCCATATTTCTACCTGTATCTTCCAGTTCTTGATATCAAGCGCTCTCTCTTCAACCCAGGAGAACTGAGCCTTCCTGGACACCTCCTCATTTCAGTCCATTCCAGCCTCTCAGTTTGGTCACCTTCCACAGCAAGGTGTTTTTTATGCTGCCACTTTCATACATTCTTCTTATCTTTGAGAAAGTACTATAAAGGTAACCAAGATTTCCTGGCTGACTCTGCTGTGATGTCTCTTTCTTACCTCTTTCAGATGTGCTACAGGCTTTTATAGTGCTAATTCTTACCTACATAAATGCTCAGGGTCTCTCTTACTCTTTTCTCCAACTATTTCGCAAACCTCTTTGGAAACAGGAACCATGTTCACACCCAACATTTTTATTCCAAGCTAAGTATTCCTTAAAACATACAATCTATCCACAAGGAGTGTGCTTTCGCATCTCACCTGAGACCACTCCATGGCGACCCACTTGGGACAATCGAAGAGATTGCAAGTTTGCATGACCTTGGGCTTGGGTGCATACATGCACTTCCATTCCGCCACCTGCAGGATCTCCGCATGCATGGACTCCTCCACACACACGAAGCTCCGCCTCTGAATCCCTCCTCCACACGACACAGAACATGCAGTCCACGGGTTATGTTCCCAGCTCAAAAGCAAACAAAAACACACATTATTTATTTGCTGTTTGTTGGTTTCAAGTTTGCAAAAATGTCTGCTGAAAGCATGGCCTCATGGTATCTGCTGTGCTCCAGCTAAAAGCCAATTGATTCTTTTTTTTTTTTTTTTAATGTATTTGGTATTTGGCACAGGGTCTCAATATGCAGCTTGGACTCGTAGTGATCCTCCTGTTTTCAGTCTCCCCATTTCTGTGATTATAGGTGTGTACCACCATACCAGGTCTCGGTGGCTGGCTCAGCACATCTGTGGCCAGGGCCAGCATGGCATGTGGTACCCAGGGATTGAACCCCCAGTCCCTGTGCTTGCCTAAGCAGGCCATTAGTCTCCTGAGCTATCTCACCTGCCTTAAGGCTTGACTCTTAACTGTCACACACTGTCCATAGTCCCAAAAATTAAATACCCTGAACCAAAGGTTGTCAAATGGAATCATACTCCTGCCCTAGTTATCCACAGTGGCTCCTAGGGCCACTGTGAGATTAAACTAATTAAAACATAGTACGTAAAGATTGTTGATCTATTTCTCAATAGAGAAAAATACTAAGTGATCATATTGCTAGAGAATCACAGAAACTCAAAGTCAGAAGAGAACATATCAGCCATCAATGTGTCAAATGGCTGACCAATTCCAAGGGTTTAGCTCCTTTTGTGATACCGTCTGTCCAAGATACCCTTATCGCTCCAGTGACTGAAAACATCACCTTTTCTTGCAGCCTGTTCCACTTGATTCTTAAAATGATCCTTCTGGCTACTGAGCTGCATCCTGTCTCTTGTTAGCTCTAAGAGGGCCTGATGCCTCTCCCTGACGCGTTACAGACTTGCTGCAGGTGCAATGTGGGCTTGCACGCTACTTCCAGCAAATAAGGAAAAGTAAGCACATAACTCACCGAGGCAGAGGTTGGAAGTGATCATAAGGCATAATCTCTTTAAATCCATCACTGAAAATAAAACCATTTTGAGAATATCACTCACAAAAGTCAACTTATGCATTTAATAATTATTGCATTTATTAATGACTTCTCGAGACCAAGCTTTTTCAATGAACGCCAAACACATCAAGTGTTATAAACCAGTTCCAAAACTTCAGCTGCTTTTTTGCTAATTTTTAGGAACAACAGACACAAAGGAGTCCCCACTGTATACAGCAAAATAGACCACTGAATCAGTGATATAGAAATCTAATAAAAACATATCACTTAATTTAGATAAATTGATTTATTCTTTTCTTTCTTTTTTGTGTTTTAGGGAAGGGCCTAGAGGGTATTCAGGGTCTCACTACTAGATCAGACTCCTAGTGATCTGCCTGTGGACAGCCTCCCAAGAGCTGGGATTATAGGTGTGTGCCACCACAACCAGTCTCAATTGCCATCTCAGCATGCCCCGGGGGTGGGGACAGCACAGCAGGGCTGGGGATTGAACTCCCAATCCCTGTGCCTGCTTGCAGGCACTTTAATCAGATGAGCTATTTGGCTGGCCCAATTTAATCTTTTCTAATCATCATTATTATGACAAAATATGGCAATGATATTAACACATCATATTAGTAAAAGATTTCAAAAACCACTTTGTATCACAGGAGCAGTCCTTTGAAAGGTCTGTATTAATAATGGCATTTCCCTGAGATTGCAGGAAGTGGTGGTGCAGTGACAGGAAGTAAAATCCAGCAAGGTCCCTCTATCACTTACACTCTTGCCTTAGCCAGCAGGTAGTAGGGGATTCTGGGACTTAACCTTATGCTGTTAAGACTCTACCATACAATCCAAACAGGCTCTCAATTACTCAACTTCACAGTTTATGCATAGCATGGTGCATTTTTTATGCAGAACTTAATGCGACACTTCAAAGGGCAAATATGGCAATGGGTGATCAAGCTTTTCTTTAAAAAAAAAAAAAGAAACTTTAGTATACGTTTTCAGTACATACCAAATGTATTCATTGTAAAGAGTCGTTACATAGACAGATTCTTACTTTCCCTTCCTCTACACTCTCCCTTCCAGATTCCTTTTCTCATCTCCAAAAGATCTATTCCCCTTTTTCTATCACCTATTTTTTATGTTGTTTCTTAAATTTTCATACTTTGAGTTTCTCATACAAGAAAAACACCATGTAATATTTAGCCTATGTCTGACTTATTGCACTTAGATAGGTTTATTTTTCTTATGAGTGACTCATTTATATTTTTTGTGGCTAAGGAACATTCAATTATGTATAAATAACTCATTTTCTTTATCTATTCATCTGTTGATGGGCATGTAGACCATTTCCAAAACTTAGCTATAGTGAGCTGTACTGCTAGAAACATGGGTACTCATGGATGATGACCCAGCTCCAGGGCTCAAATGATGAGAGAGACAGTCATAACTGGCCGAGGGCTAGACATAGAACTTGAGTAAAGAGACCATTAGTACTGTGTATACTGGAGATGCTCAAACAGGCTTATTATAAAGAGTTCACGGCCACATAATCCCACAGCAAGAAGAGGGTGCTGGCCATAGTGCTGGAATTTGCAAAGCCATCTTAATTCCTACAGAAATGCACTATCCAAAGAGATCTGATCAGTCCCACTTGGAGCTGACTTGCGTCTTTTAGAGTAAAAATTGTACAAACCTTGAAGGGCAGGGGTCCATGCCACATTCCTTCAGTTTGGGCTTAGGTTTTACATTTTCAGGGTAGTAGTGACAATAATGGTCAGGAACTACCCTCTTCAAGCGGATATCCATACATTCAGCAGAATTAAGCTGGTAACCTTAGGGATAGAAGAGGAAAAGTCTGAACACTATTGGTTTCCTGTTGGCCTGGTAAAACTGCCACATGCCATTTCCCTTGCCTTTCCATCCTTTCCTTTCCCTTCCCTTCCCTTCCCTTCCTTGCCCTGCCCTGCCCTTCCCATCCCATGCTTTCCTGTCCCTTTCCTCTTTGCTTTGCTTCGCTTCACTTCTCTTTTCTTTTCAATACTGGGGATTGAACCCAAAGCCTTTATATCAAGCTACATGCCTAACCATTTTTATTTTACATTTTGAGACAGGGTCCTTCTAAATTGCCCAGGCTAGCCTCAAACTCCTTTTCCTCCTTCCCCAGTCTCCCAGAATGTTGAGCTTTCATTCATGCACCATCATGCCTGGCTCACATACATTTTTTTCTGTTCCTCTTTAAGAACATATAGCTCAGTTCACAGGTATCAGCATATATAGTTATTCAGGGTAAGAATTCTACCAATTAGCTGCTAGTTTCAAAAACCTGCTGATGTTTCTCAGGATCCATCACGACTGCACAGAAGATAGCAATGTGTAATACTAGAGTCATGCTTGGAATGCCTGTCATTTTGGTCTTCTAAATATGTACTGCTTGTCATGACATACCAAGTATTGCTATACTGTTTCTCAAGTAAATGTTTTTTATAAAAAACAAAAGGGTAATAAATGAAAAAAACAGACAAGAAACAAAGTCACAGGACTGTCCTACAATGCTGTATATGGTTAGATTTCTAAATTTCTATACAAATATATGTAATTGTTTATTCATATTTTAAATTTTTTTACGTTTTTTTATTTTTATTTTAGTGTGTGTGTGTGTGTGTGTGTGTGTGGCCAGCTCAGCCCACCAGGGGGCGGGGCTGGCTGGC